AATCACAATGTTGCAAAACAATCTCTTTGTCCCGAACATAATTTCTGATAACATGGTATTTAATCTTGATGTGTTTGGTCCTACAATGCTGCACTGGATTTTGAGCAATAGCAATTGCTGACATATTATCTACTTTGAGTACACAAGACTCAATTTGATTAAAACCAAGTTCTTCAAGCACCATTCTAAGCCAAACAGCATGATTCGTTGCTGCTCCAACTGCTAAATATTCAGCCTTAACTGTGGACTGAGCTACAACATCCTGCTTCTTTGAATTCCAAGAAAAACTCCCTGAACCAAAGGAGAACACATAACCTGTTGTGCTTATCATATCCTCCATAGAACCTACCCAATCACTATCAGCATACCCTTGTAACCTTCCTTGTTGAATACTGTCAAACCACAAGCCAAGTTCATAGGTTCCTTTGATGTACCTAAGAACTCTCTTGGCTGTAACTAAATGAAGTTTACTAGGAGCTGACATAAACCTTGGCAAATAGCTTGCTGCAAACATCAAATCAGGACTTGTAACAGTTAAATAAAGTAGGCTACCAATTAAACTTCGGTAGTAGGAGGAATCAACCTTGGTTTCTTGATCATCCTTGGAAAGCTTTTCATTTTGAACCAGTGGAGTGGCAACTGGTTTGCAGTTCTCCATTTCAAACTTCTTCAAGACATCCAGTGCATACTTTCTCTGGCAAATGAAAATTCCCTTGCTCAATTATTGAACTTCAAGTCCTAGAAAATACTTTGTCTCTCCCAAATTTGTTATTGCAAACTCTTGCATCATAACCTTCTTGAATTGTTCCAACAACTTCAAATCATTTTCGGTTAACAATAAGTCATCCACATAAAGTGACAAAATAAGTTGTGATTCACTGCTGTTGCCGTTCACATACAAAGTTGCTTCTTCTGTGCTCCTCTTGAAGCCTTGACTCATCAAGTAGTGATCAATTCTGCAATACCAGGCCCTTGGCGCCTGTTTTAGACCATACAAAGCCTTGTTAATCTTATAAACACAATCTTCATTCCCTGTAATCTCAAACCTAGGTGGTTGTTCAACATAAATTTCCTCTTGCAAAACACCATTAAGGAAAGCTGATTTTACATCCATATGAAACAACTTCCAACCCAAATTAGCAGCTAATGCAATTAGAAGCCTTACTGTATCATGTCTAGCCACCGGAGCATAAGTCTCTACATAATCGACACCCAGCTGTTGAGCATACCCCTTCACAACAAGTTTGGCCTTATGTTTGTATATAGGCCCATTTGGATTTAACTTAGTTCGAAACACCCACTTCACTCCAATAGGCTTCTTATCATCTAGTTTTGGAACAAGACACCAAGTTTGATTTTTTTTTTTTATCATAGACAGCTCATCCTTCATGTCATCAATCCAAACCTATTGTTTAGCTGTTTCTTCAAAACAATTAGGTTCTGCAGAAGCTAAATTACATCTTGCATAAATCTTAGCTAGTGACTTGGTTTTCAAAACTGGTGACTCATCATCAACTTCTGCAATTTCAGAACTGGAAGCAACATCAGTTGATTTTAATTTTGAACCAACTTCACACTGCTTGTTTGAACCTTCTTCTATCTTCCCTTTATCCCAATTCCAGTGTGCACTCTCATAAAAAACAACATCTTTATGCACATTCACCTTCTTGGATATGGGATCATACACCTTATAGCCTTTTGCTTGTGTTGCATAGCCTATAAAGATCCCAATTTCTACCTTCTCATCTAATTTCCCTCTTTTAGCTGCTGGAACATGATTATAACAAATTGAGCCAGAAACCTTCAAATGATTAGCAGATGGTTTTTGACCATACCAAGCCTCAATAGGTTTCATGCCTTTTACTACCTTTGTTGGTAAACCATTTAAGAGATAGACTGCTGTATAAACTGCTTCAGCCCAAAAAGATTTGGGCAATTTCTTCTCTGCCAACATGCACCTTGCCATCTCCATAACGGTTCTATTTTTCCTCTCTGCAATGCCATTCTGCTGTGGGGTATAAGACACTATTAATTGATGATCAACACCAGCTTCTTCACAAAACAAGTTGAAATCATTGGAGGTATACTCCTTACCATTATCTGATCTGAGCTTTTTAATTCTGCATCCACTTTGGTTTTCAACCAAAGCCTTAAATTTTTTAAACACAAGTAAGGCTTGACCTTTGCTACCAAGAAAGTATACCCATGTCATTCTTGTCAAGTCATCTATAAAGAGGATGAAATAACTGTTTTGGCTGAGAGATGGTGTCCTCATAGGACCACAAATATCTGTATGCACCAGTTCAAGCTTTTGAGTTACTCTCAAGGATTTATTCACAGGAAAAGGCAATTTATGCATCTTGCCTAATTGACAACTTTCACTAACACTGTCAGTTAAATGCAATTATGGCAAATCTCGAACAAACTCATGTGTTTGCATATATTTTAGGCCTTTGACATTGAAATGACCATATCTTTTATGCCATAAATCTGCATCCACAATTTTAGAAGTAGAAAAACAGTGTTGCACCTTTTCCAAATCCAAAGGAAAGATGTTTTCTACCATTTTCACCCTAGCTATCTCATCACCAGTAGGGTCATAAATAAAACATGAATCATGCACAAAAGATAAGAGTGAATCCCTTTTTCATCATTTGTGCAACAGAAAGTAAATTCTGGCTCAAGCTAGGAATAAACAGGACATCGGTAATTTGCTTTGTACCTGTTTTAGTTTGAATAGCAGCAGTACCTTTCCCTTGTGATCTCAGGACAGTACCATTTCCTAACTTGACATTTGTAATAACTGATTTGTCCATTTCAATGAAGAGACTTTCATCTCGAGCCATATGATTAGTGCATCCACTATCAACAAACCAAGTACTAGATGGCAGAGATGAACCTTGAGACACTGTGAACAAGTAGTCCTCCTTGCACTGATCTTCAGCATAATTAACTTGTTGTTGTTGCTTTGGTCTATACTAAGCTTGTTGATGTTGTGTTTGATGCTGTCGCTGTTGCTTAGCCCTACAATTCTTCTCAATATGGCCATATTTTTTACAAAATCTGCACTGAATCTGTGATCTATCTTTAAACCAACAATCTTTTTCTTCATGGTTTGATTCTGCAATAACAGCATTAAGGAAACCTCCCTTTTCTACTTTGTTGATGCTACTGATATGCTTGGTTAGAACCATTGGTCTTATTGCTTTCAAAACTAGTGGCCGGTTGTTTTCCCTTTTGCCTTGCAAGGATGGCTCCTTCTGTGGTTTCATCAGCTTTCATAACCAGCCTTTGCTCATGAGCCTGAAGCTTGCTTATAAGCTCAGTAATGGTTAGCTCTTTAAGGTCACAAGATTCTTTTATGGCAGAAATCTTGGACTCAAATTTATCTGGTACACTAACAATAATCTTTTCCACCACCCTTCGATCTGGAAATTCCTCATGATGAAGTCTAATTCGGTTGACAACATCCATCAATTTATTTGTATATTGATGGATTGTCTCTGTCTCCTGCATTTTCAGCATTTCAAATTGTCTTTTGAGGGTTACAATCTTGTTACCTGTAACCCGAGAACTGCCATCAAACTCTTTCTTAAGAGTATCCCATGCTTCTTGTGCTGTTTTTGCTCCCATGATCCTTGAGAAAATATCATCTGTTACAGCACTATGAATATATGAGAGGGCTTTGTATGAGGCTTGAACATAGTCAACATGTTGCTTCATTTGGGCTACAGTTGGATTGTTTGGCAGCATAGGAGGATGAAACCCATCTTCTACAGATTCCCACACACCATTACCTTTTAGAAAGGCCTTCATTTTGATAGCCCAAACACTGTAATTTTCTCCTGTGAACATAGAAGGACTAGAAAGTGTTGAAGAATTGTTTGAAGACATGGCTGTGTTTTTTGTTTACACAGCTTCTCTCCCTCACTAGCACTCGTGTTTGCTCTCTCTCACCAGAATTTGAATATGTTTTGCTCTTACAGGTCCCTCAAGACGATTTTGCTCTAATACCAATTGTAAATTTCTACAGTAAACTAAAGAACACACTAATCTAGATTTTATGAGCTTCTTGGATGTGGAGCTCTGTTTCATTTCAGATTGATAACTGACATACATAAAGAGTTGCTGAATATCTACAACTTATACATTATAGTTTCTACATAAAGGATAAAAATAATTACTCCTAATGCAGCTAACTTGTAGAACTAACTGCAGAAAACAAAAAACCAATTACAAATTAAAAAAGCATAACTGCTGTTAACTAATATCTTCAACATGCTCTCTATGATCTGCCTTACTGTTTTCTTCATTTTTCTTTCAAGCTTCCATATCCGAAGATAGGAAGATATCTGAAAGAAAATGAAAGAAGAAAAAGCTAAGGTACTGCTTT